TTGTTTCTAATAATTTATCTATAATAAATAATAGTCTTTCTTTATCCATTTTGTAATTTTTTGCTGCCTAACTAGTTTTATTTGTCCGAATACCAAACTGCACTGACAAAAATGTCAGTGCAATATTTCTTGCACTCGTTCGGTTCATTCGGTTGGTCCGAATACAAATTCAGCACTACACGAGGTCAGTTTTCATTTACCGAATACGACAATCCGTACTGATACGGTGCGCACATTCCGCATGCGTGGCACCAAAAAAGTTCGCACTCAGTGCGCACTGGTGCGCACTAGTGCAGTCTGTCGAATTCGCCGTAAATTTCATAGTTCGATCAATCGTTATCATTGGCAACTTTGATCGCGGCGCTATCGATTTGCGTAAGCATTAATGTTTCATTTTTTGTCCGGCCACGAAGAAAAATCTGCACCGTTCCTTGAAAAGTGTGTGTTTTCAAAAACAACGGACTTTTTTGTGACTCTTAGACTCTTTCTACGCTACTTATTGTGACTTTTTTATGGAAATAATAGGTGATTAGCATTACGTACAACTACATAACCTAGGAGTCCTTATTTGATTCATTACATTCAATACTGTAACCTCAAGGTACAATATATATTTATTCTTCTTATACTCATTTAAAAATTGTATAATATCTTATTTTCAAATATTTATTATATTTGAATTTTAAACAAATTTAAAATGTATTCAGTTTTAGGTTATAAACATGCCTAAAATGATTCGTAGAAGTGAGAAGAAAGCAAGTATAAAAAAGAAAAAATCTGTAAAAAATAAATATTTAGGTTATTCTCAACAAAATCTTAGTGAAGCCTTAAATGCTGTTTCGAAAGGGTTAACTATAAGAGCTGCAAGTAAAAAATTTCAAGTGCCTTTCTCTACAATAAGACGTAAAATTAAAGGCATCTATATTGTTGGAAAAGAAGTGGTCCGAGTACTTTGACTATTGAAGAGGAACAAAAACTAGTCGAATGGATACTTTTCATTAACAGTAAAGGTTTTCCATATACTAAAGATATGCTTCTTGGCAGTGTCAAATTATTATTGAAAGAGTTGAAACGGAAGAATCCGTTCACTAAGGATAGACCAGGTAGGCACTGGTTCGAAGCCTTCTTAAAGCGTCATCCTGAGCTTTTGCTTCGAATACCTCAAAATCTATAAAGGCGAGCTCAAGTTACTGAGGAAAGACTGCGTGGGTGGTTTCAAGAAGCCGAAAATTATCTTCAGTCAAAAAATCTTTTGAATATTGACCGGTCTAGGATATTTAATTGTGATGAGTCAGCTTTTTTTCCTAAATCCAAAGGGAAATAAAATAATCACGAATAAGAAGTCTAAATGTATATATAATAGAGTGGGTGCAAATGACAAGGAATGTTTGACAATATTGATTACAGGTAATACATTACTTATTCATTTATATGTTTATATTTAATATATCGTAATAGATTAGAATACTAAATATTAAAATAATTGTTAAAGTTTTAATTTTACAAATTTTCATTTTTTTTTCTTTTAAATCTTATAATCAAATTGTATAATGAGATGATTACTATATTATTACAGGTAATGCAGCTGGCCAGTTATTACCACCTATGATAATGTTTTCGTATCAAGGAATACCTGCTGTCATTATTGAGAAAATACCTAATGGTTGGAGCATTGGGAGATCTGACAGTGGATGGATAACCGGAGAGTCATTTTATAAATACATGACGAATGTATTCTACCCATGGTGCTTACAAAATAGAATTCAATTTCCTATAATCATGTATTTGGATGGACACTCTTCACATGCAACGATGACGTTGAGTGATTTTTGTATAGCACAGATATAGAATCGAACTTATATCATTATATCCGAACTCAACGCACATTACACAACCCATGGACGTGACTTTATTTCGACCTTTGAAGAATGCCTGGAAAAAAACTGTTTGTAATTGGAGAGTTCAAAACGATGGTAAAGCTATGCAAAAATCAGAGTTTGCATCACTCTTAAAAATTGCTATAGAATCGATAAACACAGAAAAAATTTTGTCAAATGGATTTACTTGTTGTGGCCTTGCACCTGTTTTCAGCGTACGCAATCGATTACAATAAACTATACTATTGAATACTAATCAAACCATGCAATATAAAAATATGTCGACGATAAATCGAGAGGACTCAATGACTGAAAATGACGAGTATAAATGTATTCTGAAATTTATAGAAAACTCTGTAGATATGAACACTCTATAACTTTTCATAACCGCCGAAAATAGAGACAACGAATGGCACGGAGAAGAAAAATATGAAGAATTATTTAAAATTTGGCTCAAATGCAAAAGATTAGTGAAGTATAAGTCATTATCGATGGATATTGAAAATGTCTCTATTATGGAAGTTCCTTCAACAAGATGATTGAGAAAATTTCATTTTAACAAATGATTTATACATTTTACTATTTTTATTTTTAATCATGCTTCTTGTAGATCTATACATTATTAATTACGTTAAATAATCCAAACAAAACAATGATTACTAGATTTTTAAAAGTAGTAATGACGAAGAAAATTTTCGAATCGGCCGAAAGTTGCATCACGTGCCGAGTCCTGGTGTATCTTATTGCTAATGTCTTTTTCACGAAGATGTGAGCGAAAAATAGATACGGAAGTGATTTACAACTTAACAATATTTAAATGTAAAATAATAAATTTATAAATACCATGTGTCATATATATAATATATATATATGATATGTTCACGATGTTTTAATGTTCTATTTTACTAAAACAATAAAATATAACCGATGCTTCTTCTTACAACATATCGTATTATGCATGCTGCTAAAAACAATGATCACATTCACTGTATTTACTTATTTAAAGTTTCCGAAAATTTAGATTATTTTGTTTGTTTGCAAATATGATCGTAAGCGGACTTAAATCTATATTGCACTAGAGCTCCAGATTTACAAGAGTAGCGCATTCCTTTGTTGGCGTCTTTGCCCTTCTTTTTTTCAGTGAATAAACATGATCGTATGATACGGACATTTGATATACCTCATACAAACATATTTATTCATTTGCATAAGAGAGGAATTTGCATCCTGAACTTGACCGCGTATTCTTAAACTCATCCGAAAAAAAGTGTCACAACCTCATTGCTTCTTACAACAGTTGTCCAATGGTAGCGTCTTCTGAACGCGACCATTATCGTTCTTAAGTTTCTAAAATCTTATATCCATAGTGTGTATTAGAACTCGATTCAAGTTCATGGATCCTGAAATGTGTAGCCCCAATCAACATAGTTTTTACGGAAAAACGATAAGTTGATTGGTTACGAATTTCTGTATCCAAGAACTCGGACCGAGTTCTAACACTGGATACAAGGCTTAAAGAAAATTTCACATAACCTTCAATGTATGCAATGCTGTGATTCATGACTGACATTATCGCTAGTTCTTATTATTTCATTCCAAATCGACATTTCGACAACTCGCGAGATACTACCGGAAACTTTGCCATCGATTCAGAAATAGTCCATAATAATCTAGGACATTTAGAGATAAACGGAATAATTCCGAACAGAATCCATTCCAAACATTTCCATAAATAATAGGTGCAGAAATGCGAGATTCCGATTGGCGAGTTTCCGATCTCGATTCCGCTAGTATGTTTTTGCTAAAGTCTCTATAACAGAATCTGGACAACCGCATTCGGGCGCATGCTCGTCCGCCAATAACAGTTACAACCGGAAATGTATCATGTGTTCACACACAAATAAAACTGCGCCGGAACCAAAATGGCGGAATGGAAATAATAAGCATCGATTCTTTCCCTCGGAAATTTTCATAAAGTGAGAAGTGACCACCTTTCTACGTTAATATTTATGATCCATGCACGATTAATGATACAAGAGGTCTGTTTTCTGTGGCTGAACTAGTGTACACTTTTAGAACTTAAAGTGAGATAGGTATATGTTTGATATTTGTAGAAAGCGAGAAAGAGAGTTCTAGTTCAGTCTAGTGCAGGAACAGAAAACAGACCAAAGATACAACTGAAGCTTACGTCCGCTCACAATCACAATCATATTTGATATCAAGATGAAATAACCTGAATTTTTAGAAGTTTTAAATAAGTAAGTACAGAGCGGTTGCGAACGAAATGTTTTCAACAGCATACAGATACGATAAGTTGTTAGAATTGATTATATTTTAATACGTTTTTCGTATAAAATCGTATGTCTATACAGTAAATCGTATATCTATATAGTATTTATATAACTTCTTATTTTATGTTTAAATATTATTTAGAGGATTGTGAACCATTTCTACGTCGTGATCATCTATTTTATCCCACATCTTTGTGGAAAAGACGGTTTCAATAGGGTATACGGATCTTTGCGTGGAGTGTGAGAAAGCATAAATATTTAGTACGTTTCTAGAAAGTTTCACGAATTGCTTTAAATAAAAAACAATTGTTTTATGGATTTTTATCATATTTTTCAGGTATAAAAATGCACGAAATATTTTCATAATGATGTGCAAAAGACTAATCTATCATCTGATAGACTCATCTATTAGCTGGGCTATGTCGCAAGAAAGAAAGATGACCGAGAAGATCCAATAAGCCAAGGAGTCAGGTGAGGACACTTTTTGGAGGATATTTTAATGAAACATTCTATTGTAAGTAATTTGGTTTTGTTTTTTTATAGTGTAATTGTACTTTTTTAATAATTTTATGTAAACAAACCGAAAAATAGGAAAAAGCATTCAAAGATACCAAAGGATTTGTGGATTATTGTTTCGTGAATCTTGTAATTTTCTTCATCAGTATGCTCTTCGCTCTGATGAAGTAAAAGGTAAGATTCATTGGACATTAACATTAACAATGGATTACGACATGGCGATAACCCTCCGGCATATTGAAAGTAAATATCTGTGGAAGTCTCAAAAGTATTAGAAAGCATTATTTTTGCTGCATTCCGTAAAGCTCATGATATATCATTGTATCTTTGTTATTCACCAAATGTTAATAAGTATAAAATGACACATTATGTAAATATGCTTTATGAAACCAGAGACTTATAACTTTGAAAAGATCAAAGATAATTTTTTCATTTATTTTTAAGATAGATTTTCAATGGATCAAGATCTTCGAAAAAAATGGATTGAAGCATTGATTATTTTGAATAAACAAGAAAGTGCATGAAAGATGCTTAAATCGATCAAGATATGTAAATTGCATTTTTCTGATTATTGCTTTACACAATTAGAATTTCGTTTAAAATTACATTCAGTACCAAAGTTTCCACTCATGCAAAAAATGCAAAATGGATAATAATGTAATTTTATTTTTATAAAACCATGTTTAATTAGCTACCATATTTGTCATTTTTGTATTTAGTTTCAATCAATCACATGTACTCCAGAAAATCAAATTATCTATTAAAAATGACAATAATCGAAAAGTTAATTTTAGTAAAGACAGCATGATTGACTCAATATAGTTTATCGAAGAAGTCAGAAACATAAATACATTGTCTCCAGAGACGACATTCATGAATAGGTAATAACATATTTTCCATTGCATGATTTTTTACTTATTATATTTATTAATTTTGTATTTCTCTCTAGTTTGGAAATTGGAGAAACTGGAAAGTCCACAATTCAACTAGAAGAAGTTGGAAACATAAATACATTGTTTCCTGAGACGACATTCAAGAATAGGTAATAATAATAACATATTTTTTATTGCATGATTTTTTACTTCTTATATTTAATAATTTTGTATTTCTAGTTTAGAAACTGGAAAAACTGAAAATTCCACAATTCAACTTGAAGAAGTTGGAAACATAAATACATTGTTTCCTGAGACGACATTCAAGAATAGGTAATAATATTTTTTATTGCATGATTTTTTTACTTCTTATATTTATATTTATTAATTTTGTATTTCTCTCTAGTTTGGAAATTGGAGAAACTGGAAAGTCCACAATTCAACTAGAAGAAGTTGGAAACATAAATACATTGTTTCCTGAGACGACATTCAAGAATAGGTAATAATAATAACATATTTTTTATTGCATGATTTTTTACTTCTTATATTTAATAATTTTGTATTTCTAGTTTAGAAACTGGAAAAACTGAAAATTCCACAATTCAACTTGAAGAAGTTGGAAACATAAATACATTGTTTCCTGAGACGACATTCAAGAATAGGTAATAATATATTTTTTATTGCATGATTTTTTTACTTCTTATATTTAATAATTTTGTATTTCTAGTTTAGAAACTAGAAAAACTGAAAATTCCACAATTCAACTTGAAAAAATCTGAAACATAAATATGTTGTCTCCAGAGACGACATTCACGGATGGGTAATAACATATTTTTCATTGCATGAGATTTTTTAGTTCTTATATTTATTAAGTTTGTAATTGTAGTTTGGAAATTGAAAATGTGTGGAGCTGCAAAATAGTTCTCCAGAATATACAGAAATATGCGCAACTCCAAGAAAAAAAAGATATCCTGGAGATATAAATGACAATAATATTAAGGATATAACTCCCAAAACAGCTATAAAATGCATCAAGTTGTTAAAATAAGCCTGTATAAAAAAAATCATGCGCTAAAACAATTGTAAAATGAAAGAAATTATCAAAAAAGAAAAATAGAATCTTTGCAAACATTATTAATGGAGCTGAAACAAAAATATCTTCTATCATAGTGCTGAGATTGTCCAGGTTTAATCTCACAATTAGAATTTTGAATTTGTAATATTATATCATTTTATGTAACTAATAATTTAATAAACAGATGAAATGCCTATAGGAACCCACACTAGTTTTTTTCGTGTTTTTTAAGTTTAATAAATCTAAATATAATTTCAATATTTAATAATTGAGATTATCTATTAAAAATGACAATAGCTGAAAAGTTAATTATATATAATAAGGGATAAATTAATCTTTATAATTAAAAATACACGAAAAACTCTAGTGTAGATTTTTATAGGCATTCCATCTCTTTGATTTATATTTTCTAGAGTCTTTTACTATTACTCATAATTTAGTAATTGTTAGAACTGTAATTTGAATTAATAATATAGAGATTTAATTATATATAGTTGTAATCAATACGATTAATTATATAATATTACATTTAGTGATACTAATTCCAAATTATTGTAATTTTAATTATTACAATAAATAAATTGTACAAGTTATTCTTTACTTCTCCATAAAAAAATTATTTAATTAATTTATAGGCAGTATCAGAAAATACCTCAATCATTGCACAAATAGAAAAAGGAAAAGTTAAAGGTACTTATACGCCACAGTTGCGTACTTTTAACTCGGATCTCTTGCATTCTGTGCAAGCGTTCTAAGTCTTTAGATTACATGCTTGTTAAGTTAGTCCCCCTCCTCCATCTGCACTAAATAAATTCTAACACATTACAAAATTAGGTACTAATTAGATGCCAAAGTGCAAAATTAGATGCTCAAACCATTTGGCAGGAAAACAATATATTGGAGAGAGCTGGCTTAACATTAAATTAACCTCTTCATAAAAAAATTTATGTACATTGCAACAAGAAAAAAAAAACAATACAGCAGAATTAAATGCTAATTGTAAACGTCTGATTTTTGATTGGTATTAGCTATATTTTCAGAAAAATTTATAAATTTTTTCTCAAATCACCTCCGTCTTTCAAAATAGAGGTATAATCTTGAATCTTGTTGATAGAGTTCTGTTATTTCCTAACACAGAATATCATTTAAGGAATTTGGTGTTTACAATTAATACATTATTGGGTAATGATCATCCTCTTAAATTCACCTTTAATACTTTCAATAGCAGAATTAAAAACTTTCAACGAAGAAAAATTATCTCACAGAATAGTGCGAAAAAAAACGAAGAACAAAATAATACTACATTGTGGTTTACTGTATCTTTCATTCCATTTTTTACTAAGAAATTTAAAAGATTTAACAAAAGTGATAATAAAGTTTTTTTCACACATAATACAAATAAATTAAACAAATGTATTAAGATACAAAAGGATCTTCGACCACATCTATCAAAAAATAACATTGTGTACAAAATCATATGCAATAAATGTAATGCTTCTTATGTTGGACAAACGGACAAATTTAAAACCATAGACATGTCTATGTTTAAAACTAGAATTGCAGAACACCACAACCATATTCGATGGAACAAGTCTACTTGTTCTGTAATCACTAAACATAGGATGTAGATGAACACGACTTTAATTGGAACAATATTAGAATTTTAGATGAAGAGCCATGTTATAATAAACGTTTAATTTCTGAGATAGGTAAAAATGAAATGGAGGGTAACCTTTTCAAAAATCGATGAAATTATACTCATTCGACGTGTTTTTCCATAAAACGAAAGAATCTGGCAGAAAAAAGCGTCGCTCTGCGCCACGAATCGAGATATTAATCGTTAAAATTCACGACTATTTAGGTTAGGATATATGTCATGATCACTGCCATGCGAGCATGCGCTGTGGTCACATAAGTTTGTTCGGGTTGCTTGAAAACCCTAAAAATGTTTTCACTTAAAGCGAGGTAAGTATATATTTAGGCGTTGAAAAGAGAGAGAACAAAGCTGCTAAGTGCAAAAAGTGCAAGCAACGCGAACAGGGATATTTTCTACTTCGTGGCCACACGCCACAAAAGTCACTGCTTTAAAGCCTTGTGTCCACGATACTAGAAATCGATCCGAGATCTCGGATGAAGGAAAAATTGACCAATTACATTGGTCATGTGATCAAATTGTTCAAATGTGATTTGTTAATTCTTCCTTCATCCGAGATCTCGGACCGATTTCTAGCATCGTGGACACAAGGCTTAAAAACAGAAAAGCACTGGCTAAAAACACAATAATGGCGAATTCGACAGACTGCACTAGTGCGCACCAATGCACTGAGTGCGAACTTTTTTGGTGCCATGCATTCGGAATGTGCGCACCCTATCAGTGCGCTTAGATTATCGTATTCGGTAAATGAAAACTGACCTAATGTAGTGCTGAATTTGTATTCGGACCAACCGAATGAACCAAACGAGTGCAAGAAATATTGCACTGACATTTTTGTCAGTGCAGTTTGGTGTTCGGACAAATAAACTAGTTAGGCAGCAAAAAATTATAAAATGGATAAAGAAAGACTATTATTTATTAGAGATAAATTATTAGAAACAAGTAGTAGTAGATAATAGTGATGATAAAGATATGTTATGTTTAATAAAAGAAGAAAGGCCGAAAATTAAAAATAAATAATAAATAAAATATTTATTAAAAATAAAAAAATTAAATTATTATTATTTTATTATTATTAATTAAAAATTAAATTATTAATTAGTGTAGTTTTGCACTCGCACCGTGTCAGGGCAGCACCCTATCAGGGCAGCACCATGTCAGGTAATAAGAATCGCACTTTTCTCCTAGAACAGTCCATATCACTGGTTATCGCTACTTAACGACACCGACAGTTGTCGGTAAGCGTGTACAGAATAGGCAGGCCCTATTCTGTAACTTTTTATACCATAAGATATCTGCGCAACGATGTCGTTAACTGCCTTAACGAGTTACAGAATACAGGGGAAGGGCAGCACTAGAACCGTGTCAGTGCATATGTATCGAATGTGCCATTAGTTGCCTTCCATTTACACCGATTCTCAAATAATTCTCATTTGTGACGTCTTAAGCTGATTTTTCATGTGCAGCACGCTGCGGCAGCAAAATGTTATTATTGTTTAAAAATCTTTTGTGAGGTAACGCACTGTGACGCACTTCCAATCAGTTCTCGAAATTTGTATCACATGACATTTTGCTGCCCCAGCGTACTGCACATGAAAAATCAGCTTTAACTTGAATGCGCGTTTTGCGTTCTAAGTGAGAATGAGATTCAACTGAGTTTTTACTTACAAACTGCACAAGATTGAGACCGTGTGTTTCACTGAGTCTTGTAGACTCACTTTAAAATTGAGGTTATAAACCTGTGTTATTATTTGTTAATTTTACTAAAATAAGCAAGTAGTGACGTTATTAATCTGATATTTCATACTCGGGTCACTTCAGATTCAATTTCACTTGTGTATAAATGGAAAGCAACTTTCAACAATGTTCTTAGAAAAAAGAAGTAACATTTTATCATTATGATCAGTTGCTTGATTTTTATCAATTTATATTTTAAAAAATTGTTAAAAATTTTTATTACAAGAATTTACTGTAAAGTTATTTTAGCATTGAAGACCTAGTGGTAGGTTAAAACGTTGGTTCAAATTATAATTTAAGTTGAAGAATTGTTAAATATTAATACTTAATATCTACCGATTGACTCGTAGCTCTTTGTCATATACACTTATTTTATTTGAGTCCTTTTAAAATTAAATAAGAACCAGAAAATATTCAAATTAATCAATATATAAAGAATATTAAGTTGCAGTTATCAAATTTATATTATTATTCTGAAGTTACTCTAATAATTATTTTTTTTTTTGCAGACATGGATAGACTATAAATCGGAAGTGTCTGAAAAAGCCCAAAAATTAAGAAAAGGACGATCAGCAACTAGAAATAATCCAATAAACACAGTTTTAATGAATATAAAGAATTTTGGAAATTATTGGACATGAATATATACAAGATTTGACAGATGTTCCAAATAATTTTCCTGAAGAATGTATCGTAAAGCAAATAACATATTTCTATATTGTAACTATAGCACAAATTTGTTCTTTTTTGTATAATTTAGCATATACATATATGTCTATAAAATATGAAATGTGTATATTTATAATAACACATTTGTAATTATTTTACTTCATTGTATGTGCTTTTAGAATGCTGCTCAAGAATTGGCTGCGAAGAATGAAGAACCATTACAAAATATTCTAGTCCCAATAAGAAATACCTAATCTTTGTATGTAAACCTTTTTTTTCTATATTATTATATAAAATATTTCTGTTAAAATGTTTCTTAAATGATATAAGAAATGCTTTCAGTCGCTACAAATAATCAGTACGAAGATGACAATGCTTTAGATGGGTTCATAATTCTACAGTTAGACATTCCTTCTACTCACAATCTAGTTTTTAATCAAATTTAGTTTCTACTGTACAAACCAATTTACAACCAAAAACAGCTAATTTACAGATAATCCTTTCATATCATGATCTAGCGTAAACCTAATCTATTTTCTTCACGTTATAATCAAGACGTAAGTGTATACATATAATAACAATTATAATAAGATTGTAAAGATATCTCTAGTGGACATCTCTTCAGAGATTGTTCCAAAAATGCTCATGACCCATGGATATAGTATACCCGTTCCAAATCTTCCTATTATGAGGAGATTTCCATCAGAAATAAATTCAAGAATATAATTTATTTCCTTTTTCAATATTTGCAGGTAGACCTAGAAGTTTGGCAGTATAATTACATTACGCTCGAAAAACATTTGAAAAAATTACAGATAAATATGCAGAAGCAATGAAAGGTAGTTTTTAAAATTTTTTAAAGAAAAACATCATAGCTTTATATTATAAATATTTTAGTTTTACTTTATATTTGTATTTTTACAGATGTTAAC